CACTGCTAGACTCGTGCTCCAGTAACTGATGTTTTATTTTTCCACGAATCGGAAAGGACGCCTGACTAACAAATTCATCATATAGTGGAACAAAAAATGAGCTTTCCGTTGAAAACTTGGATTGGCCCTAGCAACCAATAAGCGTTAGCTCGCAGACAAGTATGAATTAACACGTTTATACTTCACATTGCCTTATAAATGGAAAAGTTTGGTGGTTTTTCGTAAAATAGTGTCGTGTTTGTGCATGGACTGGCAGACCTTGAGTTTGAGTCTCGCCCGATACCTATTGGAAAAGTAATTTTTAAGTATAATCTAATTTACTCTAATTAATCCTGGTATAACTCACGGAGGTCGACCAATTGTATAACATCATCCCAAGATTTTCTCAGGTTAAAGTAAACATGAACAATTCGTATTTAGTCAGAGTGCTTAACTCGGAGACTAAAAATATCGAAAGATACGAAGTGGCAATCTTTTGGCTAGTCGTAGGCGACAAAAGAAGAACCATAAACAAATAATCTTCAAAAATGGTTGGCATGCGGCTTGCCAAAGCAAGTCACCTGAACAATATTGCTGCCTTGGTTCAGCTTCTTCCAGAGCACCAAGAGGGGATTCAGTTCCAGCAACCAAGCAGCTCTATCCTCGAACGGACCAGACAATTGAGTAATCCCGGTGCCCGCGGAAGACGCTGAGGCAGCCGATCGGAGCCTCGGCAACAATCTCAGCTGCCCTACCACTCGTTCGGCGAGGCTGCGCTGTGCGGCCTGGTCACTGTTGGGAGGCAGGCTGAATACTTCGGGGAGATCGACGTCAGGCAGGCTGCTTAACATCATACAATAATCCTGGATAGGCAAATTAAATAGTAAAATCCCGGAAATAAAAGGGTTTCTTAGAAAGGGAAACCTAAAGACTGAAGAAAAAGTAGTCCGTATATAGGTGCTATCAAATCTTTTGGTGATAGATGAAGTGAGTAGTAAGCCTTAATATAGCATTTAAATCTCTTAGAAAAGAAGATCAAGAGGCTTTTCAAATCCAAACTAGGCTGTAGTGTCGGCCAAGTCTAATCGTTTCGTCATTTCATCGTTTCATTAGCACGTCCAATATAATTCTAGCTTTAAACTCACCTCTCTAATATTGCCCCCACAGCTGCGGAAACGTATAGGCGAGGTCGAAACTGTAGCTTATTTTTAATGCAAATTTTTTCTTGGAGTGCATTATGAAGGAAAATCCGGCGCAAAAATTAAGACTTATTTTCGATTAATCGAGGCCATACCCACTAACAGTCCAAGTGAGAAAGTACACCTCGGCAACAGCCAAGCATCTTATACCTGAGAATAAACTGTTACTAATATAAGCAGTGTCCATCCTATCTCGTTTAAGATAATGAAGGACTGGTAGTTGAATTTTTCCACAATGATATGAGTAGGCATGACATTTCCATTAAATTTCACATAGCCTTGTTTTCCCAAAAGGTATTTAACACACATAAGTATATTTCAATTTGCTTATTGCTTTCCCTGATATCTGCCTTCTCAAGTTTACCAGTTTGGATGAAATGATTTAACAGAGATTTGAAAAAACTCTCAATGGCATGAGTCAGGGATAAAATCTGATTGGAGTAAGTTAGCGAGTTGCAACAAATTTAATGTTTTAATCGTAAACAGGAAGACCAATATGTTGTGGTCTCTGTTTTTATCTCTGTCTCCTTTCGCTGTATATAAGTTAGTTAACCTCATTTTCGCAACTTGCTCGTGTTTTAAGAGAGGCCTAGATGAATGCACTTTATCAGAACTCCTCTGCTATATTAGTTATGATAATCCCAAGCGTTGGACCGTGGGCTTGGTATATTCCCAGACGTTTCGCCAGAATCGTCAGTTAGTCTTGCCATACTTAGCGCCAACCGACGATTTGTTAAGGAGACAAGTGAGAATGTACCAGGTCCACGGTCCGATATGGTGAATTATAATAACTACGATGGAAGAGGACTTTAGACAAGATGCTTTCGTCCAGGTCACCCTGAAAACGTACCAGAGTTGTGAAAAGGAGTTCAAATTACGTTTTGCTATCTAATAATAATAAACTAATAATATAGAATATGTTTTGTATAATGCCTCCAGGCCTGGTTGAATTATGTAATGAATTTAGAGCAAAGGCCGATGATCTTAATTGTACAACTCTTCTACAGTTAAGTGCTTGTAAAGGAGTTTATAAAACAAATATTCGTTTTGGTGA